TACATACATACATACATACATACATACATACATACATACATACATACATGTATATTGTATATGTAGTATATATATATATAGTATAGTCCTATATAAATATTTTTTAGGTGTAGTCAGTCGAATTAATTGACACACAATTTGTTAAATTTTTGCTGGTGGATAAAACATATTCAAGTTAAGAGTTATATATAACCTAAAAAGCACAAACTTTAGTCTGTTTTTATGTTATGCTTAACATAAATGTCATTGGCCTGAAATGCTTGCTATACACAATATATATCTTGGTGCTTTTAAATATTTATAATGCATTATTGATACTGTAAAAACTCAATGTAAAGACCAGGGTTTCTCTCACTTCCACACTTTAGAAAATAAAGAAGATGCTCAAACCTTTAATATCAAGTTTATCCTCATCATCTGCGGATTTTCTCTTCCTATCTTTGTTCTTCTTCTTTTTCCTGTGGTAAAAAAAAGATGAGGACGTCCAAAACCTGTTTTAAATTTTGTAACCAGCATACATTTAATCATAGCCCCACACAAATCAGACTCAATATCAGCAAGTTGATTTAGGGGAGCAACAATATGATTATCTTGAAGCCCAACAGAAACATAGAACACATATCCAAGACTTGCCATTTACTTTACAAAATTGATAACACTAGACTGATGGTTGTTGATTATAGTTCAAATAACTGACAGTAAATCTAAAATAAATAGATGCCTCAAGATACATGATGAAATGGTGAAACAGAGAGAACATTCAAAGTACAAATGGTAGCATATCAAGCAAACATCGGGAAACTGAAGTTGTTCTAAGTATTTATAAGTTTTGCATCAACCAAAACAATCGCGCTCTCGCTAGCTCTGATTAGCACTTTAGCTAAAGCTAAAAGAAAAAACCCATATAGGTATCCAGAAATAAAGGCATATCTATTGTGGATTAATACTGCCTATATGTGTCTAAACTTACCCTTTATTCGAACCTTTCAAAACCAGTTTGGTTGATTTTACACGTGAATATTCAGCCATTTCTTCTGGGATTCGATTAGCAGGTAACACGATAAAGACTCAACCACTTCAAGTACGGCAGCTGTAGAGGGACATTTAAAATATGATCTCATTTTTTGTTAAAAAGAGTTGCTGTCCGTTTTTATCAAGTCAGATTATTAAGAATATTTCCAATATACACTGTGTTGAAACAACTTATCTCCATTTTTTATTTTAAACAATATGTTTATGTACTCAAAAAGGGGAAGAAATTCAAAATGATGATTTAAAAATGTCACATTTCCAACAACTCTATCAGTGAGACTCTTGGCCCCCAGATGAAAAAATAGGCTCTCACCAATCAAGAAATGATGGTGAGGGCGAATGACCTCATGAATGATGTCTTCATAAGTTCATGCTTATCTTGCCTCATTAAATATGAATGGCCCAATTGGGAGTCTGTGACATAAGGTAATGAATCATTTGTGGACACTGTCAAGGAGTTACATAAATCAGAATGTGAGTTGTGCTAT